ACTAGGAGACCTTAGACAAGACCCTTAGTTACTGTGTTTCATTGATTCTAAGATGCACATTTTTTTCACAGTTTAACACCCCTGAAATCCAGATGCATCTTAAAATCATTTGATGTCATGAAATCTCCTTAACATTTTGACTTTTCAGAATGTTTCAGCTATCTGAATGATTGTCTCTCTCTTTTTAAAGATTTTTAAACAAGATTTTATTTGAGAGAGAGAAAGTGAGAGAGGGTGAGAGCATGAGCAGGGGGAGGGGTAGAGGGAGAGGAAGAAACAGATTTCCTGCTGAGCAGGGAGCCTCTGTGGTACTCCATCCCAGGACTCTGGGATCATGACCTGAGCTGAAGGCAGATGCTTAATCCACTGAGCCACCCAGGCGCCCCCTGAATGATTCTCTTAATGAACAATAAAATTATTTCAGAGCATACAGTTGACCTTGTCATGCTTAACTGTAAAACCTTTCCATGGATCTTCCACATCTTGTTCAAAGTACTCCTTGGCAATGCATAAAGGATGCTTCAGGTGGTTTTTTGTTTTTGTTTTTGTTTTAATTTAAATTTTAAGGTGATCTCTATACCCAGTGTGGGGCTCAAACTCAACGACCCTGGGATCAAGAGTCTGGTAGACTGACTAAGCCAGCCAGCGCCCCCAGATATCCTTCAGTGTAGCCTCTTGTTTATCTCGAGCCTTGTGTCCTGTTGCTCTTGCGTTGCGTGTTACAGGAGTTGTCTTAGCTCCCTGACCATACCTTGCGTCACACTGCTGAGCCCTTGTGAATTGTGTTCCTTCTGCCTGAAATTCCTTATTTTAACTTAGGGAAATCCTGTTTGTCCTTTAAAAGCCAAGTTTCACAGCCTCTGTGGTGATGTCTTTCCCCTGTTTGTTTGAGGTTTAATTCCCTTCTGTGCATAATATTGTTACTGAACTTTTCATGAAATAATGTTATTATTTAAATACAGGTTTGAATCTAACAAGTTGGAGGTATTTTGAGGGCACTGTGTATGTGTTGCTTCTTAATAATTGTCTTAAGTATTGAATAAATGAATTACCATATGAAGCCATATTAGTAGGAAATTAGAATATATCCTCCTTCTAATAGCTATAATAAACAAGCAGCAAAATTCAGAAGTACTGGTGGTCATTCGGAGCAGCAGTGTGCAGCGTTGGCTTCCCTCCCAGGTCAGGGCCTGCCGGTGCCCTGGAGAAGCCTGGAGAACAGGCAGAGCTGTGAGGGGGACTAACTCACTGAGACGGCTGAGGGATCTATTTCTGCTGGCTTTGGCTGGAGAACCCTTTCCTGGCCTTGTTGGAATGGAGAATTCAGAGCCCTCCTAGGGCTGTTGTCATCTCTTGAGCCCCTACTTGTGTGTCTGGGGCTTTGGGGTCTTGTTCTGTGAGGAAGATTTAGTAGCTCATTTTAGAGGAGGAAGCAGACTCGGAGGGTCTAGACAGGTTTCTCCAGCTCATCACACGAACATGACCTTGATTGGTTGGTTGGTTTGGTTTGGGTTTTGTGGGTTTTCAGACCTTTTGGGCCGCACGTAGGTCCTGGCCCTCTTCTCCCTTCCTTCACACTCTCTCTGGCTGACCTAGCTCGGGATGTGGTTGCTCCTTCCACCTTCCCCTCTCCTCTGGGCTCCAGATGGCTGCCTGATATCTGCGCTCATGCGTCCCTAAGGCCTCTCACAGCTGGCGCATTGGGGTGTGGACTCCCGGTTCTCTTGCCCACCCCGTCCCCGTGCTGCACTCCTTCGCCTCTGCCAGTCTTCCCCTGCGCAGAAACCGGCACATCATATGCCCGTTGTTGGAGGCAGAGACCCAGGAGACATTCTAGATTCCTTCCTTAGCTGGCAGCTCAGCTTCGCCCATCAGCAACTCCTGTCACATCTCGTTCCCAAACACCTCCTGCTTCTGTGTCACATCACCGTTCTCCATCTCCCAGACCGTCAGCTGCAGGCACGGTGGTACCAGCCTCTGAACTGATGTTCCTCCTCCGTTTCTTGGTTTCCTCTCTCAGCAAATGGTTGTTGGGGGCACATGTACTTATAGGTATACCTCATTTTACTGTGCTTCGCAGATAAGGTGTTTTTACAAATGGAATGTTTGTGGCAACCTGACTTTGAACAAGTCTGTTGGTGCCATTTTCCCAAAAATATTTGCTCACTTCCTGTCTCTGTGTCTTGTTTTAGTGATTCTTGCAGTATTTCAGAATTTTCATTATAAGTATACTTTTTTTTAAGATTTTATGCATTTATTTGTCAGAGAGAGAGAGGGAGAAAGAGAGAGAGAGAGCACAAGCAGGGGGAGCGGCAGGCAGAGGGAGAAGCAGACATCCTGCTGAGAAGAGAGCTCAATATGGGACTAGATCCCAGGACCCTGGGATCATAAACTGAGCCAAAGGCAGGCGCTTAACCTGCTCGCTACCCGGGTGTCCCACTGTGATTATACTTGTTAATGATGCTGTGACATTGCTATCACAGTTGTTCTGGGCCACCATGCACTGCTCCTATAATGAGAGTGAACTTAATTGATAAATGTTGTGTGTGTTTTGACTCCTCCACCGACCAGCCATTCCCCCACCTCTCTCCCTGTCCTCAGGCCTCTCCCCTCTTCCCCTGAGATAGAACAATATTGAAATTAGGCCGTTTGATAGCCCTTACAATGGCCTCTTAGACGTTCAATGAAAGAATCACATGCCTCTCTAAATCACAAGCTAGAAATGCTTAAGCTTAGTGAGGAGAGCGTGTTGAAAGCCAAGATATACTGAAAGCTAGGCCTCTTGCACCAAACAGCCAAGTTATGAATGTAAAGGAAAAGATCTGGAAGGAAGTTAAAAGTGCTACTCCAGTGACTACACAATGATAAGAAAGCGGAACAGTCTTATTGCTGATGTGGAGAAAGTTTGAGAGGTCTGGATGAAAGATCGATCCAGCTGCAACTTTCCCTTAAAGCAAGGCCTAATCCAGAACAAGGCCCTAACTCTCTTCAATTCTGTGAAGGGTGAGAGAGGGTGAGGAAGCTGTAGAAGAGAAGTTGAGGCTAGCAGAGGTTGGTTCATGAGGTTTAAGGAAAGAAGTGTGTCCGTGAGGGTTTTAACAAGGTGAAGCAGCAGGTGCTGATGTAGAATCTGCAGCAAGTCATCCAGAAGGCCTGGTGAAGATGAGTAATAAGGTGGCTACACTAAACAACAGATTTTCAGTGTAGATGAAACAGCCTTCTTACTTGAAAGGGTGCCTTCTAGGACTTTCACAGCTAGAGAAGTCAATGCCTGGCTTCAAAGCTTCAGAAGGACAGGCTGACTCTCTTGTCAGGGGCTAATGCTGCTCATGACTAAATTGAGGCCAATGTCATTTACCATTCTGAAAATCTTAGGACCCTTAAAAGTTGTGCTAAATCTACTCTGCCTGTGCTCCATAAATGGGGCAAGAAAGCCTGAATGGCAGCACATCTGTTTACAACATGGTTCCATGAATATTTTAAGCCCACTGTTGGGATATAGTCAGAAAAGGATTCCTTTCAAGATATCACTCCTTGTAGAAAATGCACCTGGTCACCCAAGAGTTCTGATAGAGATGTACAATGCAATTAAGGTTGTTTTTGTGCCTGCTGACACAGCATCATTCTGTAGCCCATATGGATCCAGGAGTCATTTGAACTTTCTAGTCTTACTATTTAAGAAGTACATTTTGTAAGGCTATAGCTGCTGTAGGTAGTGATTCCTCTGCTGAATCTGGGCAAAGTCAATTGAAAACCTTCCAGAAAGGATTCACCATTCTAGATGCCTTTAACAGCACTCATGATTCATGGGAGGAGGTCAAAATATCAATATTAAGAGGAGTTTGGAAGAAGCTGATTACAATCCTAATATAGATGACTGTGAGGGGTTCAAGACTTGAGTGAAGGGAGTAACTATAGATGTGGTGAAAATAGCAAGAGAACTAGAATGAGAGGTGGAGTCTGAAGACATGACTGAGTTGCTGCAACCTCATGATAAAACTTGAATGGATGAGCAGTTACTTCTCATAGAACAACGGAAGTGGCCTCTGGGGAAGGAATCTACTCCTGGTGAACATTTTGTGAAGATAGTTGAAATGACAACAAAGGATTTAGAATATGACATAAACTTGGTTGATAAAGCAGTGGTAGGTTTGAGAGGATTGATTATATGTTTGAAAGAGGGTTTATTGTGGGTAAAATGCTGTCAGACAGCATTGCATGCTACAGAGAAATCATCCATGAAAGGAAGAGTCAGTCAATCAGTGCAACAAATTCGGTTGTTGTCTTATTTTAAGAAATTATCACAGCCGCCCAGCCTTTAGCAGCCACCACCCTGATGAGTCAGTAGCCATCGACACTGGGCAGGACACTCCACCAGCACAAAGATTATGAATAGCTAAAAGCTCACATGATGGTTACATTTTTAAGCAATAAAGTATTTTTTTAATTGGTTTTTTTTTTAGACATGATGCGGTTGTACACTTAATAGACTGTGGTATAGTGTAAACATAACTTTTTTTTTTTTAAGATTTTATTTATTTATTTGACAGAGAGAGATCACAAGTAGGCAGAGAGGCAGACAGAGAGGGAGGGGGAAGCAGGTTTCCTGCTGACCAGAGAGCCCGATGTAGGGCTCGATCCCAGGACCCTGGGATCATGACCTGAGCTGAAGGCAGAGGCTTTAACCCACTGAGCCACCCAGGCGCCTAGTGTAAACATAACTTTTATATGCACTGAGAAACCGAAAGATTCATTTGACTTGCTTTAGTTCGGTACTTGCTTTATTGTGGTGCTTTGGGACCAAACTTGCAATTATTTCTTAGGTATGCTTATACCATTATCACCCCCATTGTGTTAATTAGATGTCTTCCTGGTTTATTTAAGTCTGCAGTTTGATGTATTTTTGAAGTCTTTTGGTTTTTAAAAACAAAATGATTTCTAATCTAATTGAAATAACTGTAAGCAAATTAGAATCTTCATGCTTTCCTTTCCATCAACAGAATCCAACATGGCGGAGTCTTGATTTTGGAATAATGCCTGACCGTCTTGATACATCTGTGTCTTGTTTTGTGGTGAAGATATGGGGTGGAAAGGAGAACATCTACCAGCTTTTGATTGAATGGAAAGTCTATTTGGATGGGCTGAAATACTTGGGTCAGCAGGTAATTTTTAGACTGTAGTTTTAAGTGTTTGTCTTCTCTAAGCCTACCTAACCTTTCTGTATATTGTTTAGATTCTACATTTCCTATTATAGAGAACCCTTATGATTATTTCTATACTTAATTATAGAAATTCTGAGTCATGGCCAAGTTTAAAAATAATTTTTAATTGAAGAAACTTATGAAGAAGTACCCTGAGCTGTTACTTTAAGAGGAATTTTTTTTTTTTTTTTAGGAAAGAATATGCTTTCCCATAGCTTTCTGCTTCTGTTTTATTGCACTTGATCTTAGCCACAAGGCTGAGAAGCGATCTTCTCTTTTATTGGATCTAAAAATTAACTTGCAAATATAGAATATACTATTAAATACTTCTGTTATGACCAGTAGAGTTGAATGATTTTGGGAAGGAGAGGTACTATTTAGTTATTTTTTTATTTTTAATTTTTTCTTTTTTGAGAGATATTACTGTTTATTAAACACAGGGCTGACAAATGCCTGGCTTGCATACTACTACCAAGTCCCTATGAGTGAAGTAGCTATTGGATCATAGCATTCCTCTAGCTGAGCTTCGAAGTCGCTCCATAATCCCTTTGGACACAGTGTTCTGGGATGCAGCTAGCAATGTATCAGAATTGCTGATAAATGAAACCTATTTACCATCTCCAGACTAGGTTATTATACTTAATATTTTATAGCAGCCTTGTGAAGGTTGGTATTAGTGCCCTTATTTTCTAAATGGGAAAATCGAACCACAGGGAGTTTAAGTAAATGCTCAAGATCACACTGCTAGGTGGAGGAAGATTGAAATCTAGGCCTGGCTGACTTACAGATGCATGATTTGTGCTGTATGACACTGATCTATACATGTGGTCCTTGGTAACCTACCTTGGAATAAATGCTGTGTCTATTTGTGATACCTATTGGATACTGCTAAAGGTAACTCCAAAATGTTAGTCGTATCTGAGAATATCCTTGATGTTTCTTAATATTTATTCAATATAGATTTTCTGATTTCTTTCTTTCTTTTATTTATTTATTTATTTATTTATATTATTGTTTTGAGAGAGAGAAAAAGCATGCACATGATTGGGGTTGGGGAGAGAGAGAGAGAGAATCTTAAGCAGGCTCCATACTCAGTGCAGAGACTGACACGGCTCAATCTCATGACCCTGAGAAAATGACCTGAGCTGAAATCAGAGTCGGATGCTTAACCAGCTGAGTCACCCAGGCGCCCCTGCTTTATTTCTTTTAAAGAAACAATTTAATTCCACATATTTTTTTTCAGATTAAAAAAAAAAAAAAACTCCTCTGCCCTCATTTTGCTTACCATATACTTTATTTTGTGTCTTCCTATAGTGATCAGAATAATGCATGTAATAGATATTTTACTCCTCTGCCCTCATTTTGCCTATCATAGATTTTATTTTGTGTCTTCCTATAGTGATCAGAATAATGCATGTAATAGATATTTTACATAACTAAATTCTAACTGCTATGGATTCTTACTCTTTTTTATTTTTCTATTTTTCCTTCTGTTTTAGGACTGGTCTCAATGAAAATTTATAAAATCATGACTTCCGGCTTAGGGCCTCTCTCTTCTCTTTCAGCATGAGACATTTATTGCCTTTAGGCTGGCCAGCCAGAGCCCTGCACTAAGATGTATACTTTTTCTGTCTTCCCACATAGCATAGTTGGCTCTCTGTGGATAGACAATGGTATTGAGCTCTTATCTTTTTTCTGAAAGTACTTACATTTCATGGAGGATGGTGCTTCTTAACATTAGAGTTGTATGGCTGTAGTCTGGCAGGGGGTTTTTGGCCAAAGAAGATGGACTTCATGCTTTTCAACTCACATATTCCTTGGGTAGTGATCTTCTTGAAGTACTCAACTGTGTTTATGTCGAAGCTGCTCTAATTTCAGAGAGTCTGTTTTTGGGTGTCTTCTTAAAAAGCTGGTTAGTGGGTATAACGGAGAACAGAGGAAGAGAAAACATGTTTTTTATGCCAGTTAGAAACTTATTGTAGAAAGACAAAACTCACCTACAAAATAGATACAATAAGTAACATACTACTAGGAAATCAGATAAAATAAAATTATACATTTTCAGAGGAAAACAAGACTAAGATGTATCAGGAGAACAGCCGGAATTACTTGGGTTCATTGATTGATCTTCTGCTTTCTACCAGGCATTATTCTTACTATTAAGGTTCCAGAGACTGATAAGACAAGATCCTTAGACTTGGTAAGCTCATGATTGTTGAACACCTGCATATGGACCTGCAGAGCGCTGTTTTGATTGCTGTAGCTTTGTGATATAATTTGGGGGAGTATATGAAAGAGGTATTTAGACAAGTCGGGATGGAGTCAGGCAGGGCCGACTTTTGAATGAAACTTTGTTTATAGGTTAGGTTTGTTGAGGTATAATGTATATACAATGAAATTACCCTTTTAAGGTATACAGTTCAGTAGATTTGACAAATGTATAAATTCTGTTAACCACCACAATGAATAATGCTGCTGTGAATATTTAAATATCGACCTTTATGTTGACATATGTTGTCATTTCTATTGAGTAAATACGTAGGTATACAGTTCAGTAGATTTGACAAATGTATAAATTCTGTTAACCACCACAATGAATAATGCTGCTGTGAATATTTAAATATTGACCTTTATGTTGACATATGTTGTCATTTCTATTGAGTAAATACGTAGGAATGGAATTTCTGGGTCTAGTGGTAAGTGTTGAAATTTACAAGAAGCTGCCAAGTTGTTTTCCATTCTGTTGGGTTTTATCATTCTGATGGATTCGAAGTGGTATCTTGTGACTTTTTCTGGTAAAGTTTTAATTGTAATTACCCAGTGTTCATCATGACAAGTGCACTCCTTAATCCCCATCACCTATTTCACCCATCCCCCACCTACCTCCCCTTTGGTAACCACCATTTTTTTCTCTATAGTTAAAAGTCTGTTTTTTGGTTTGTCTCTGTCTCTTCCCCCCCTTTTGCATTTGTTTCATTTCTTAAATTCTACATAAGAGTGAAATCATATGGAACTTATCTTTTTCTGATTGATTTATTTCACTTAGCATTATCCTGTTGAGCTCCATCCATATCATTGCAAGTGACAAGATTTCATTCTTTTTTATGGTCGAGTAATATTCACACACACACACACACACACACACACACACTCATCTTTTTTATCCATTTGTCAATCGGTGGACATTTGGGCTGCTTCTGTATCTTGGCTGTTGTAAATAAAACTGCTCTAAACATAGGGGTGCGTATATCCCTTTGAATTAGTGTTTTTGTATTATTTGGGTAAATACTTAATAGTGCAATTGCTGGATCACAGGGTATTTCTCTTTTTAAATTTTTGAGGAAACTCCATACTGTTTTCCACAGTGGCTGCACCAGTTTGCATTCCACCAACAATGCACAAGTGTTCCTTTCTCTCCACATCTTCGCCAACACCTGTTGTTTCTTGTGTTCTTGATTTTAGCCATTCTGACGGTTGTGATATCTCATTGTAGTTTTGATTTGCAATTCCCTGGTGTTAAGTGATGATGAGCGTCTTTTCAGAGCATCTTTTCATGTGTCTGTTGGCCATCTGGTTGTCTACTTTGGAGAAAAGTCTTTTCATGCCTTCTGCCCATTTTTAAAATTGGATTATTTGCTTTTTTGGGTGTTGACTTTTATAAATTCTTTATATATTTTGGATACAAACCCTTTATTTGATGTCATTTGTAAATATCGTATCCTATTCAGTAGGTTGCCTTTTAGATTTGTTGATTGTTTCTTTGGCTATGCAGAAGTTTTTTATTTTGATGTAGTCCCAATAGTTTATTTTTGCTTTTGTTTCCCTTGTGTCAGGGGACCAATCTAAAAAACAGTTGGTATAAGAGAAATTACTGCCTGTGCTCTTTTCTAAGATTTTTATGGTTTCAGGCCTCACATTTAGATCTTTAGTCCATTTTTTAAAAAAATTTATTTATTTGACAGGCAGAGATTACAAGTAGGCAGAGAGGCAGGCAGAGACAGAGAGAGGAGGAAGCAGGCTCTCTGCTGAGCAGAGAGCCCACTGTGGGGCTCGATCCCAGGACCCTGAGATCATGACCTGAGCTGAAGGCAGAGGCTTTAACCCACTGAGCCACCCAGGCGCCCCTCTTTAGTCCATTTTTAATTTATTTTTGTGTATGGTGTAAGAAAGTGGTCCAGTTTCATTCTTTTGCATGTAGCTGTCCAGTTTTCCCAACACCATTTGTTGAAGAGACTATCATTTTCTCATCGGATAGTCTTTCTTGCTTTGCTGTAGATTAATTGACCAGATGATTATGGGTTTATTTCTAGATATTCTATTCTGTTCCATTGATCTCTGTGTCTGTTTTTGTGCCAGTACCATACTGTTTTGATTACTGCAGCTTTGCAGTATAACTTGAAGTCCAGGATTGTGATGCCTCCAGATTTGCTTTCCTTTTTCAAGATTGCTTTAGTGATTCACGTTCTTTTGTGGTTCCATATAAATTTTAGGATTGTTTGTTCTGTTTCTATGGAAAATGCTATTGGTATTTTGACAGGGGTTGCTTTAAATATGTAGATTGCTTTGAGTAGTATAGACATTTTAACAATATTTGTTCTTCCAATCTATGGGCATGGAATTTGAAATGTCTTTCCATTTCTTTGTGTTATCTTCAATTTCTTTCATCAGTGTTTTATAGTTTTCAGAGTACAGGTCTTTTACCTCTTTGGTTAGATTTATTCCTAGGTGTCTTATTATTTGGGGAGTAATTGTAAATGGGATTGTTTTCTTTCTTTTTTTTTTTTTTTTTCTTTTTTTTTTTTTTTAAGATTTTATTTATTTATTTCATAGGGAGAGAGGGAGAGAACAAGTCGGGGGCGGGGGAGGTAGCGGCGGAGGAAGAGGGAGAAGCAGACTGCTGATGCGGGGCTCGATCCCAGGACTCCTGGATCATGACCTAAGCCAAAGGCAGATGGTTAACTGAGTGAGCCACCGAGGTGCTCCTGGAATTGTTTTCTTAATTTCTTCTTCTGCTGCTTAACTATGGGTATATAGAATCTTCTGATTTTAATTTTAATTTATCTAGTGATGAAGTCATGTTGAGCAATAAAAAAATGTTTATTTGTCATCATTCTCTCTCTTGCCCTTTTTTAAGTGAAATGTTTATTCAGGTCTTTTGCCCAGTTTTTATTTGGCTGTTTGAATTCTCATTATTGAGTTGTAAAACTTCTATATGTATTGTGGATATGAGTTAGTTCCTTATGAGATAGTATTTTCTGAATATTTTCTGCTAGTCTGTGGCTTGTCCTTTTTTATTATTATTATTATTTTTTATTTGACATGCAGAGCACAAACAGGGAGAGTGGCAGGCAGAGGGAGAGGGAGAAGCAGGCTCCCCACTGAGCAGGGAGCCTGATGCAGGACTGGATCCCAGGACTCTATGATCATGACCTGAGCTGAAGGCAGACACTTGAGCAACGGAGCCACCAAGGCATCCTTTGTCCTTTCATTTCTTTAAGTGTCATTTAAATAGCAAGTTTATAAGTGTTAAAGTCCACTATATCGGTGTTTGCTTTTTATGTTTCATACTTTTCGTGTCTTATCTAAGACATATTTGCCTAATCCAGGGTCACAGAGATTTTCTCCTATGGGGTTTTTCCTCTAGAAGTTTTATACTATTAGGTTTTACGTTTATGTATATGATCATTTTGGATTAACTTTTATTTAAAGTATATGGTTCTTTTTTTTTGCAGATGGATGAACATTTTTTTCTGTACTCTGTTATAAGAGTTCTTATTTCTCCATTGAATTACCTTGCTATCTTTGTTGAAAATCGATAATTTAAAATAATTTTATGTGGGTCTGCTTCTGGACTCTCTTCTGTTTCATTGTTCTATAGGTCTGTCTTTATGTCAATATCACATTGTCTTGAATTCCATAGTTTTATACATCATGAATTCAGGTAATAAGAATCCTCCAACTTTGATCTTTTTTCAAATTGTTCTGGCTGTTTTAGATCTTTTGCCTTTACCTATACAGTTTAGAATTAATTTGTCAATTCTATAAAAATCTGAGAAAATTTGGGGAGAATTGACATCTTGCTAGTATTGGATGTTTTAGTCTATGGACATCTCTCCATTTGGGAAAATCTTTGATTTCATTCATCAGCATTTTGTAGTTTTAAGTATATAGGTCTTGCACATATTTTGTTAGATTTGTACCTGTGATTCCATGTTTTTTATGCTAGTTTAAATGCTATTCATTTAAAGAATATGCCTATTTCCAGTTGTTGTTGCTAGTATATAGAAACATTTCTGTATTAAGCATGTATTCTGTGACCTTGCTAAACTCATTTATTAGATCTAGTAGTTTTTTTTTGTAGATTCCTTTTGTAGATTGCTGTGTAGGCAATCATGTCTGTGAACACATGGTCTAATTTCTTCCTTTCTAATGAATATGTGTTTTTGCTCTTTTCTTATCATTTCATTGGTAAGACCTCAGTACAGTGTTGACTTGAAGTGAATAAAGTGGGCATCCTTGTTTTGTTACTGCTGTTGTGTAAAAGTATTAAGTCTTTCATTATTAAGTATAATATTAGCTGTAAATTTTGTAGCACTTTGTCAGGGTGAGGAAATTTCCTTTCATAATGGATTACATTTGCCAATATTTTATTAAGGCTTCTTTCATCTATGTCCATGGGGGATATTGGTCTGTACTTTTCTTGCCTTGTTCTTGTCCAGTTTAGTATGAGAGTAATGCTGGTTTTATAAAATGGATTGGGAAACCTTAACTCTTCTATTCCTTCTGGAGGAATTTGTGTAAAGTTGGTATTACTATTCTGCAAATGTTTGGCAGAATTCTTCAGTGAACCCATCTGGGTGTTAAGATTTCCCTGTGGGGAAATTTTAAAAATAGGACTTCTGTTACTTTATTAGATGTAGGGCTATTTAGCCTCTCTGTGCCTTCTTACATGAGCTTTGATAGTTTGTCTTCCAAAGAATTTATCGGTTTCACCTAAGATTTCAAGTTTATTAGTATAAAGATTTCCACAATATTACTATATTCTTGTAATGTACATAGGCTATATAATGATACTTTCCTCTTTCGTTCTTGGTATATGTAATTTCTGTCTCCTCTCTTCTCTTGATCATTGCTTAGAGATTTATCCGTTTTCTTAGGCTTTCAAATAACTAGTGTTTGGTTTCTTTGATTATTGTTATTGTTTTCAGTTTCATTGATTTCTGATTTTATCCTTTAATTTTCTTCCTTTTGCTTGCTTTGGGTTTACTTTTCTCTTCTTTACTAGTTTCTTAAGGTAGGATTTTTGTTTTACCGTTTTGAGACTTTCTTTTCTAGATTAAGCATCTACTAAATTTTTCTCTAAGTCTTACTTTAACTGTGACTCACAAACTTTGATGTTGTATTTTCATTTTCATTCAATTCAAAATATTTCCCTTTTATTTATCCTTGATCCATAGGTTATTTAGAGGTATGATGTTTAATTTTCAAACATTTGTGGATTTTCCAGGTATCTTTCTTTTGTGGATTTCTACTTGAATTCTCTTGAGTTTAGAGAAAATAGTTTGTATGATTTCAATCTTTTCAGCCTTTCTGAGGTTTTTATTTTATGGCCTTAGAATATAAAGTCTCTTTTTTGGTAAATGTTTCTTATACATGTGATGTGTATTCTGTTGTTCTTGAATCCAGATGTCATTTAGGTTAAATTGATTGATAGTCTTGAGTGAAATTTAGATGATATGTTGGATTTAGCCATAGGAGAGGTGGGTAGGCACAGAAGTATGATATAACAGACATAATCTGATTCATTCATTTTTACTTTAGGAAACTGGAGTCCAGAGTGATTGTAACTTACATATTATTATCTAAATTTAAACTGTCTTCTTGAAAATAGAAAATAATATTCATCTTTTTTTTTCCTAAGACTTTATAATTTTTAAAGCACTCTTATAGACTAATTGGATTGTGTTTCCTTTGAGATCTGAGAATGTATAGTATGTCTCTGGATCCCTTATATTTCAGAAATAACCTTTCCATAGCAATCTCAAGAAGTGTTTGTAGATAATATATGTCAATGATCATGCCTGTTATCTCGGTATAATGATTTTGTGAGCCCTTTGACTAAAGCACTAAAGCAGGAAGCACTCAATTGATTACCTGGGCTTAAGATAAATGTTGTATTTTCTGCTGGCTTGTTAGGTTAATCATCCTGTTTCTCAGCATTGAAGTAGGTCTTGCTGTAACTGTCACGCCTTAATCATAATAAAACTTAATTGGAATGAGAAAAACTGATAGCATGTTTTTCTTCTCTCTTAGATTCATGCCCGCAACCAAAATGAAATAATTTTTGGGCTGAATGATGGCTACTATGGTGCTCCATTTGAACATAAGGTAAGAGGATTTTCCTAATGCTGTGAGTTTAGTTTAGTGTAGCTGTGCCTTGACATACAGTGTAAAAAGCTCTGTGTAAACAGAATCTTGTTTTAAGTATCATTGTACATTTATTTAGTGTGGCTTAGGGTGATGCTTTTTAAAGGGGAAAATTGTTTTGTAACCCCGATTCATCTTTTCTAAATCTAGATTATTAATTTTCTTAACAGAAAATCTGGGCTTTTTGCTCTTATTCTATGTAATTCTTTGGAGAGTGAAAACAGAATGGTGAATTTTGGTTAAGTGCAATACAGTTTTATTAAATGTTTCAGATACCTTTTACACTTTGAGTAAATTTAAGAAACTGTGAGTCAAGTGGTGTTATAGTCAGTGCTATCTCTATATCTACAGGCAATTAGAGAAAGGAAAGGGAAGAGAATTCATATTTACCAAATACCTACTATCTGTGTTACTATGCCAGGTGGTTCATGTTCTTTATCCCACTTAATACTAGCCACAAAACAATGAGGTGAGTTTTCTGTGTTACTTGCTCTTAGTGATCACATTGGTTCATAATTCTTCGTTGTGTGAAATGCTATTTCTGGAATGCTCCATTCATTTAGCAGCTAATTATTCAGTACCTGCCGTTTGTTAGCCATTGTGCCCTCTCCGTAAGTGCTAAAAGCATATTGGTGAGTAGATGGATGTTTTCCAGCAGGAGTGTGTGGAGGAGACAAGCGCTGGTGAGGTGACCTAACAGGTGAATACGTATAAACACAAATGGTGGTAATGCTATAAGCATGTAGGGAGGATCTTCCGTACACTCTAGGGACTGTCTTTTTGAGAACTAGACTTTTAAGGCTACAATCCAGAGGATGAGTGGAAATGAACCAAGTGCAGGGAGTGGGGGCTGAACGGGGACAGTGTTGTAGCAGAGGAGGTTGGCAAGTTGCAAGGCCATGAAGTGGAAAGACACATGGTGGGTTTTAGGGACTAAAGGAAGGTCAGAGTGATGAGGAAGAGTGATACCAGATGAGGGTGGACAGGAAGGCAGGGACCATATAATATAGAACTTTTTAAAGGATTTTGTCCTAAGAGCAGTGGATTTTTAGTGTTGAAGGATTTTTAGCATGACAGAGATAGAATATGATTTGTATTTTAACAATTTCACTCTGTCTGTAGTAAAGAATAATTGTAGAAGAGGTAAGAATATATGTGGAAAGACAGAAAGGAGGATCATGTAGTATATTAGGTAAGAGATGCTGATACTTTGAAACTGGGTTATGGCCCAAAAGAGAGAAAGTGGATTTAGGAAAGTTTTAGGAGGTAAAAATCATTGGGACCTGGTATCCTTTAAATTTAGAGTATAAGGAAAAAGACGGGGTTAAGGATGACTTTTGGGTTTCTGACTTGGATAGTGTAATGGGATAAATAAATATTCCAGGCACTAGGAGAACTGAGGGATGCTAAAAGAGGACCAGGTTTCATGGAGGCAGATCGAGAGTGGATATTTGATCATAGGGACTTTGAGATGCCTTTAAGATACCCATGTGCAGATGGAGTTCAGAGGGGAGAAGTAGAGTAGAGATAGGAATGTGGGGCCAATGGCAAACAGTCACTGAAATGATGAGTTCAGGCTAGGGACAGGGTTTACAGTGAGGAACAAGGGGGCTTACTAACCAAGTCTTGAGGCCTCCAACTTTTAAGGGACAAGAAGAGGTGGAGGCATTGGAAAAGTTGACTGAGAAGGAATGATGACGGATGTATAGGGAAAAGAGGGTGGAGTCTCACAGGCTCTCAGATGCCAAAGAAAGAGATTTTTGTTTGGGTTTAGTATTTGGCATATAAGGGGCGGGAGTGGGCAGATTAGGTGAGGACTGAAAATTGTTCATTGGATTTGGCAGAATGGAAGGTATTCTAGGTGACTTCACCAAATTCAGTTCAAGCTCTGATAAGCTTTTTAAAAAAATTTTGTTTAAAGCCCTTATATTCTGGGTTCCTTAAGTTTATCAACACTGTTTATACCTTTGACATAAGAGATACCACTTTATAATTCTTTCTTCCTTTGTTGTATAGATCCTCTAATCTGTAAGCTTCTTAAGGACAGATTTGTATATATAATTTTGAATTCCCGGTACCTATCACAGTTCTTGAGGCATGGTATTTGCTTAGTAAAAATGTTTGATTTACTGAGAGAATTATGAGATGGCTACTGTTCTTGTTTGTAGTATCCCACGTATAGGGTTATCCATTCCAACCCTGTTGAGGGATTAAGTTCCTCTTGCAACTGGTAACTAGTACACTGTCTAGCACAATATCTGGTACATAGTAATAATATTAAAGTGAATATTTATTGAATGTGACTGTGTATCAAACACTTTTAAGAGTTTTATATCTGTTATTCTATTTAATCTCCATAAGAATTGTATAGTCAGATACTATTAGTAATTGAAGTTTTGGATAGCCAGTGACTAATACCCCTTTCTTCTCCCTCTGAGTTTGGAGCAAGTTTAGAAATAAGATAGGTGATAGATAAATGGAGATCAGAACGTTGGCTTTATTTCCAATAAAATTAATTGGCAAATGTGTTTTAAATTCTACAACTAAAGGAGCTGGTATATACTTCCTCCCAAATTGAATCTTCCCCCAAAAACAACAAAATAAGCAAAACCAAGATCTTGCCCTTACAGGGACAAAGCCTAATCCTCCAAGCCAAAAGCAGAATTTATGTGTGGTGTAGGCAGGATGTTCTGACTGGGAGGGAACCTGGAAAGAACTGAGGCTGTCAGGCTCTGTTTTGTCTCCCAAGCTCAGCTGTCAGGTATGTCCTCTGCCTGTCCTGGAAAGGAACAAGAGAAGGATGCAGAGAAACTGGAAGTGTTCTTTTTAGGACCTGGGATATGGAGTGGGACATCTTTTTTTTTTTAAGATTTTATTTACTTGGCAGAGAAAGAGAGTGTAAGCAGGGGGAGCAGCAGGTACAGGGAGGGGGAGAAGCAGGCTCCCCGCTGAGCAGGGAATTGATCTCTAGGAGTAGGATATCTTTTGCCTGTGTGGAAACATGAGTGCAGAGTGTTCCTAGTAATAATAATAATAATAATAATAATAATAATAATAGCAGCTAATGTCCAGTGAGCTGATAATAATGCTAGGTGCTGTTCTAAGTGCTTTACATAATTTAACTCATTTAAATCTCACAATTGTCTTTTTACAGAAGAGGAAGCCTGCACGAAGTTAAGTGACTTTCTCAAGATTACAGAGCTACTAATTAGCAGAGCTGGGATTCAAGACCAAATGGTCAATAAAAGTTTATTGAATATATATTATTGTAATAAGTGGTATATATTATTCTATAGTCCTTCAGTTAGTGAATTTTACAAATTTAGATGCCAGCCTTATCTTGCCCCTGTACCAACTTTCAGGTGAACATCTGATATACAGTTTGAACTTTAAAAAGCATTAGTTTTCCTTTTTAAAGAAAGCCATAAACAGTTTTTCCAGTCAAGATGTCCTTGTAAGTGCACACTTTGAGACCCTCAACTGCACCAAACAAAAGGCAGTGATAGGTTTAAAAACAAACCCCAAAACCCAAAGAACAAAAATAAAACAAAACAAAAAAACCCTAGTGATTGGTGACATCAGAGAAATTTCAAGAGACATACTTGCTAAAACAAACTAAAAGCAAGAAAATAAACCCATCTGGAAGAGAAGTAGTAGGCAGAAGCCTAGTCCTTGAAAGATGCGCTCCTCTGGGCAAAATGAACAGAAAATGAGCACAAAGCTGAGGTTGGTAGGACTCTCCCAATTATAGAAGGAGGCTGAAAAAAAGACATAGAAACTGCAGATCTTTAATGTTAATTTTAAAAGGAGAAATCTTAAAAAAAACAAAACAAAACGAGAAGTCTTAAAAGTGAGCAGAGAGAAAGGAAGTATTACCTACAAATTTGACTGACAGCTGACTTTGCAACAGTAACAGTTGATGCCAGGAGAAATGATCCTCAGAGTGCTATTACCTATTAAATGTATAACTGTATTTCTAGTCAGCCTTCAGTCAAGAGCATGGATGAAAGAGGAACAACTTTAAACACACACAGATTGAGAATTTACTTCCTACAGACCCTTTATCTATACTGAATTGGAGGCGGAGAAGTGATCCCAAAGGGAAGATGTAGGAAGTAACAGCAAGTTACAGCAAGACACATGAAAATGGTTACAATGTTAGTGAATGCAGTTAACTACTGACAGCAAACTAACACACAAAAAGAAACTTAATATGTAACAAGTTACCTGTTTTTATGTAAAAACAAACTAGACTATAGTTATTCAAAGTATAGTTTGTGGACCAGGGCTAGTCTAAGAAGTGTCTGTCACTAGGGACGCCTGGGTGGCTCAGTCGGTTAAGCCTCTGCTTTCGGCTCAGGTCATGATCCCAGGGTCCTGGGATCAAGTCCCGCATCGGGCTCCTTGTCCAGCAGGGAGCCTGCTTCTCTCTCTTTTTCTGCCTGCCACTCTGCCTGCTTGTGCTCTCTGTCTGAGAAATAAATACATAAAAATCTTAAAAAAAAGGAAAAAAAAAAAAGAACTGTCACTAGTCTGTGGTGAGCCAAGTATAAAAAGTGAGAGTAAATGTTTCAAAACTTTTATAGCAATTTGACATTATTTTGCCTTTTTATTGTATTTTACAAAATTATCAGTTCACAGTGGATTGAAGGAAAAGCACCTGGTCATTGGCTGCAGAGCTTTTTAGAAGCACTGCTCTAGACAGCAATAATGAGGGGAGGGAGGGTGTGTAAAGAGTTAAGACTCAATGAGGTTACTGATCTGTCTGGGAGGAAGATAGTAAACAACTACAGAATTTGTTAGAAAAATTTGTGGTCGGGGTGCACGTTAAAAATGTGGAAGTATCTAGAGTAGGTAGAAACCAGAGAATATATATATATATATATATTTTTTTAAGATTTTATTTATTTATTTATTTATTTATTTATTTATTTATTTGACACAGAGAGAGAGCACAAGCA